AAATTGTGGTAAATATCCTAATAATGGAAATTGTTGTGATGCAATTTGATGATCATCTTCATAATATTGTTGATAAATAAAAACTAATTGTCTCCAAATTAGGCGATACAATTGTGGTCTTTCAGAAAAGAAATCATCGGGTAATTTTCTAAACTTTTCAATTTTGGAAACTGATAAATATTCTGCTAAATCTAACATGAATTCCATAAATTCATTAGATGTTAATATTTTTTCCTTTTTTGTAAATTGTTCAATATTATTAAAGGAAATTCTCTTTCTTTCATCACTTTCTTTTAATGAAAGTCTATTTCCACTACTATTATTATTATTATTAGTAGTAGTAGTATTAGTAGTAGCACTACCTCCTCCACTATTACTATATATACTTGAATTTGAGATAACACCACCACTTGAAGAATTTGTTTGATTGTTAAATAAATTCAAATTCTTTGAATCTCTTTTACCCATTGAAAATCTTAAACTTCTACTTCTGACACGTCCACCACCAGCACCAACACCACCACTAGATGTTGGTGTTCCACTACCACCTACATAATTAGAAGTAAAAACACCAGTACCAGCACCACCACTATTAGTATTAGTATTATTTGGACTAATACTGAGTGAATGAGCCATAGCAGTATTGGAATCAGATGAATTTGGTATTAAAGTGGATGGAGTATTAGATGCTGAATTAAATACATCACTATATTGTTGTTCAATATTAGCAAATAAAGAAGGTGTTACAACAACAACAAGTGAATCAGTTGATGAATCATAATCCATATGAGTTGATTGTTGTTGCTGCTGTTGTTGTTCAGATCCTCTTCTAAAGAATGATTGTGAATGATGATGTGATGATTGATTCATTCCAATACTATTATTACTATTAACATTTCCAAATAAATAATTATTAGATGCCAAATTACTTGGTAATAAATTCAAATCAGATGAAATGTAAAATTTGTTTAAAAATTGTTCTAACATCATTCTAATTGGTATTTCATTCATTTCAATTAAACTATTACTAGTATTAGTATTACTATTAGTAGTATTAGTATTATTACTAGTATTATTAGTAGTAGATTCAATATTTTCCTGTTGTTTGAGTGCAAAATAATGAGCAAATGATGGAATTCTAGCAATTTCCAAATATCTAAAATCATATTCATTCAATTCATTAAATAAAGTATTATATAAATTTAATGATCCACTATAATTCTTTTTATCCTTATTCTTTTTAACATTTGAATTGGCATTAATTGAAGAAGAAGAAGTGGATGATGAAGAATTTGATTGTCCTGAAACAATATTTCCTAAAATATTTGATAAATTAGTAGAAATGAATAAATTAGGAGGAGGTGGAGCACAATTTTGTAAAAGAGATGAAATATTATTAATACCCATTGATTGAATATCAATAGTTTTTAAAATATAATTATAATGTTGTGATTGATTAAAATTTGGATCTAATGGATGTTGTTGTTGTTGCTGAGTAAAATTTTGATTTTCAATAATATAAATGGTATTATTTGTTAAATTTGATAATTGTGACATGATATTAAAATATTCTTGACCTTTAAAATGTTGAAAATGATCAAAAATTAAAATACATTTACCATTTAAAATTAATTGTTTTAAATATTGTTGAATTTCCTTATTAAATTGTAAATGTTGTTTTTGTAAATTGTTTGCAGTTGATGAATTATTTCTAGAATTAAATCTTGGACTTTGTGTAAAACTACCAAAATTAGAATTTGAATTTTCATTAAATAAAATATCATTTGCTAATTTTATAACATTTCCAAAATAATATTCAAAACATCCTTGAATTATTTTATCTATAAAATCATTTATATTTGGCATATTTAATATATTTCTTAAAGATACCATAATTGGTATTTTAAATAAACTATTAGAATGATTTGATAATAATTGATTTAATAAATTATTATTACTTGCCATATTAGAAGAATTACTAGTATTTAAAGTATAAATATGTTCCATATAATATCTATGTATAGATGAAATAAAAAATGATAAATCTGAATCTGTAAAATTACAATTTCTACAATTTAAAACATAACATATACAAAGTGATGAATATTTGTTATATTGAAAATTATCATTTCCACCTCCTCCATTACCATTTCCACTATTATTACTTCCAATACTACTATATCCACTACTACTATTTACACTATTAATACTATTATATCTATTATTAGAAGATTGTGTACTAAATCTATTATTATTATTATTATTATTATTATTACTGATATTATTACCGATATTATTGATATTATTATTGTTAATACTATTTCTATAATCGAATGAATTTGAATTATTTGAATCAATTAAATGACTTGATTGAAATAAAAGATCAAAATTTGTATTTCTAACACCAATAACAGCACCTCTCTTTCTTGTTTTAAAATTATCACCATCATTAATATCCATTGAAAATACATTCATTGACATTCTATTAGATGCTATATTAGAATAGCATGATAATCCAATTGTAGAAGAAGAAGAGGATGATGATATTATTGAATTAGATTGATTATTCATATTAATATTATTGGATTGATTCATATTAGTATTATTAATATTGGATTGATTGATAGATGTTGAAATGGTATTATTTAAAAATGGTGAATTAAATAGTGGTGAATTATTATTAGCAACACCTGAAGAAGAATTAAATGAAGAATTTCTTGATATTGAAATTGGTAATGAAGATGCAATATTTGATACATTAATATTACTTATATTTGTTGTTGTTATTGAAGTGGTAGTGGTGGTATTATTATTATGAATATTATTATTATTAATATTATTAATATTACTATTTATAGTAGTATTATTATTATTATTATTATTTAATAAATTATTTAAACTTGATGAATGTGAAAGTTTTCTTGAAGAAGAAAATTGATTTGATGATAAATAATTATTTTGAGGTGTAATATAAGAAGTAATTTCCAATTTTACTTCTTTTAAAAATCGAATATAATCAAATTTTCCTTTTATAGAAAATATTAAATTATCTTCATCTTGAATTCTTTTAAATAAATCATATAACATTACATTCATATTATTTTCATTAAATGTTTCAGATTTATCTTCTTCCTCGTTTTCATTAAAAATATTACTATATATATATAAATTACTAAAATATTCATCCTTAAATGGAAAGTTTTTACAATTTTGTACACATTTTACAAAAGTATAAATGGAAACATTATTTTCACTATCACTTGATAATAAAGTTTTTAAAACTTTTTCAGATTTTGAATGAAAAGCAGATTTTGTAAAAAAATAATAACAATCTTTAAATTCATTCCAAGAAACTTTGTAATTTTGAGTTCCAAACATTTGATCCCAAAAATGTCTTGCTAATCTATAAATAATATAATAGGTAGATGTAAATTTATGTATAAATGATAATGAATTTCCTAAATTAGTATTTCCTAAATTGGATGATTGATTATTCATTAAAATATTACTTAAATTAGAAGACATGGGTGATGATGAAATCATTTGAATATTTCTAGGTGAAAAATCTAATCCATTATTATTATTATTATTATTATTTATATTTATATTATTTATATTATTTATATTATTATTTATATTATTATGATCTATTAAATTTAAATTATATGAAGAAATTGATTGTATTGAATCAATATCTTTTTGAATTGATTCTAATGCAGATAAAATATCTACTTTTTCATCCATACTTGTATTTATATTTCCATTAATGGATGTATTATTACCATTAATAGAATGATGATTGTGATGATTATTATTAATATTATTATTAAAATTTGATTCTTTTCTTTCTTTTAATAAAAAATTTAAACATTCAGTTGCATTTAATCTTTCACTTGAATCTAATCTTAAACATTTATATACCAATTTTAGTAATATTGAATGTCCTTTATCAAGTAATAAAGTTAATAAATTAAAAGATTGATTCTTATCAATACATTCACTTATAAAATTATCAATTACTAATTTAGTTTCATAATTATTTGAACAATTAAATAATAAATCTCTTAATGAATCAAATCGACTTCTCCTTTTTTGTACAAGTAATTGTAATGCTACTATTCCTAATGCCCACATATCAACTGATTCATTATAATATTTACCATCAAATATTTCAGGTGCCATATAATTTTTAGATCCTTTTTTTAAAATTATTAAAATATTAAAATATTATTTATGGAAATTATTTAATATATATGGAAATTAATATATAAAATTAATATGAATAAATGAATATGAATGAATAAAACTTACCTGTTATACTCATAAGAGGTGAATCACCAACTTTAAATTCACGTGTTAATCCAAAATCAGATAAATAAATTTGAGCATTTTCAATAATTTCCTTATATGATAAATTTGTATCATTTGTTTTTTTAGATTGTAATAAAATATTATCAGGTTTCTAAATTATTTAAATATATTTATAAATATTAATAAATATTAATAAATTAAAAATATTAAAAATATAAAAAAACATACAATATCCAAATGTACTAATTTCCTTTTATGAAAAAATACCAAACTTCTAGTTATATCAATCATCCAATTTAATTTTAATTCACCACTAATAAATTCATTTCCATAACTATTTGAAAAATTTAAAATAACATCTTCTAAACTTCCCAAATCACAACATGCCATTACAATAGATAATGCATATTCAATTTCACCTTTTAAATTATTTTTATATTCCTTATAGAATATATCATAGTGTGGTACTATACGAACTACTACTTGTTTATTGGAAGATGATGAAGATGATGAAGCATATGAAGATGAGGATGATGAAGCATATGATGCATATGATGAATTAAATTGATGATTAAATGTTGATTCAACATTACAAACTTGTAATATTAATTTAATTTGTTGTTCCAAATCACTTAAATTACTAATAGTTATACGTTTAATTGCTAAATTTATATTATTATTTTCATCCGTGGATCCATCATTATGTTGTTGTTGTTCTTGTTGTTGTTGATTTATACTTGCAAGGAACTATTCAACAACAGTTAATAATAAATTTAATATATTAAAAACAATCAGTTGATGATTTAAAACCTACCACTTGACCTTCAATTCCACCTCCTAACTTTTTAATAATTTTATAATCATATTTTGGATTTGTAAATTTAGTTAAATCTAAGGGATGATGTTTTAAACAGACATCAATCATTGTTTTATATAAATGTGATCTCGATGATGATATTGGTATTAATGTATTATTACTATTTTCTAATGTTACTAAATTATTCATCGTTGAAGGAGATGAAGGTGAATGTTGTTGAACATTATTTCTATCAATGGTTAGAAAATTTAATTGTGGTGATGTTGATAGTTTATTATTATTATTGACATTTAATGATGATGAAGAAGAAGAGGATGATGGTGTTGATGATGATGATGAATTGATTCTTGTTCTTGATAATTGTTGTTGTTGTTGTTGTTTCGAATTATTATCATCATCCGCTAACATTTTTTATCAGTGATGGTTGTGTTTGATTGATGACATTAGAAAATTATTATTTATTTAAAATTAGCATCACTTATTCGTTTCTGGGTGATGAAACATCTTCTTCCTCTTCATCATCATCATCATCATCAGAGGACATGTATTCATCATTAAAATTATGTTGTGTTTGTTGTTGATTAAATTCATTAACCATTCTTTCATCATCACTTTCTTCAACAACATAATCAAAAGAAGTGGATAATTCATTATTATTTAAATCATGATTAACCATTTCATCATCAAGATATTGTTCATTTAAATGTTTTTCTCTCTTTGATAATTCTTCTTCCTCTTCTTCATCATTCTGTTGTGGACTATCTAATATAATAGCTTCATTATTAGGTGCATCAATTTTGGCAATACTTGTTCTTGGTATTATTTCTGCAAGTATTTGTTTAGGTGATGCTGGTTGAAGTCTCATAAATTGAGATTTAGATCTAGTTCTAGGTGTTTGAGCTGTTAATGATGATGGTGATGATGGACTATTAACATTTAGCAATCCATTATTAGTACTATTATTGTTGTAATTATTATTGATGATACCTCCACCACCAGTTCCACTCACTGTATTATTGTTATTACTACTATTATTATTAAATACATATCCACTTGTTGATGGAATTGATAAACTTATGTTTGGTCCAATTGAAACTCCAGAATTACGAGAATTATTTGATAATGTTAAATCATCATTAACACTTAATGAATCATTGGATAATTTTGAAATGTGAGATCTCTGATCAAATGATGATGATAATGGAACTGTTAAGGTATTTGGTGTTTGTTGAGAGGATTGAGTTAAATTATTCATTCTTTGAGAATTTAAAATTTCATGAAGTTCCTTTCTTAAATTTTCCTTCTCATTATGTACATTATTTCTATCATTTTGAACAATACTTAAATATCTCTTAGTTTCTTCTAATTGTCTTTGTAATTTTCTAATAGATTCAGTTAAAACTCTATTTTCTTTTTGAGTTTTTCTTTCAGATTCTTCAACATCTGATTTTGATTTTTGTAAAAATTGTTGAGATTTTCTTAAATTATTAATATCATCTTCTAATCTTTTAGTTTGTGATTTTTGATTTTCAATTTCATTATTTAATTTTTCAACTTGTTGTACATGTTTCAAAGATAATTCCCTTTCTGTAAATTTAACTTTTTGTTGTAAATCTTGTAATTGTTGTTCAAATTTAGAAGATCTTTCTTCAAACATTATTGATCTTGATTTTTCTTCTTCTAATTTAACTTCTAATGCATGTGATTGATCTGTTATTAATTGTAATTCAGCTATTGATCTACTTCTTTCTTCAATTAGAGTTTTCATTTCATTAACAATAACTTCAGTTTGTGAATTTTCAATTGATAAAAGTGATCTTGAAAAGTTTTGAGCATCCCTAACTTGTTGTGATAAATTTGAATATCTATCTTTAACATTTACCATTGATGAACATATTTCTCTCAATTCATTTTGAACATCTCCAAGATATTTATAATGAATTGTCTTTAAAGATGAGTATTCTTGTGATAATTGTTTAAATTGTTTCATTAAATGATCATATTCTTCATTATTCTTTCTTAATTTTTCATTATGTGAAATGGTTTGTGATTCAAATTGTGTTTCCATTTCATAAACTTTCTTTTCTGTTAAATCTTTTTCAAATAAAATTCGATCTCTTTCTTTATCACTTATTGAAAGTTCACGTTTTAATTTTTCAATATCTTCTGTTAATCTTTGAATATCATTCATAAAATCTTCTCTTTCTTGATCATATTGTTTTTGTAAATCTATATATTGATTCTTTTCATTTACAATTTGATTTGTATACTCATCCAATTGAAAATGTAAATTTGTAATTTCTTCTTCACATTTTTCACATTTATCTCTTAACATTTCTAATTCATGTTCTAAATCTTTTGTATGTGAATTTCTATCTGATAATTGTTGTGTTGAAACATCTAATTTATCCAATGTTTCTTTAACTTCATTTTGAAGATCTTGATTCTTTCTTTTAGAATTTTCCAATTGATCTTTAACTGCTGAATTTTCATTCTCTAATCTATCAACTATAAATTGTGCATTATATAATTCACCTTGTAATTTATCATTCTTATTTTGAAGAGAGAATTTCTCTTGTGATGAATTACGAAGTTCTTGATCTTTTAAACTTAATTCCTTATTTAAATCTTGAACTTTTCTTTCCATTGTTTGTAATTCTTTTAATAGGGCATTATTATATTCAATTTGACTTGCAAGTTCTTCTGAGAGATCTACTCTAGATCCACTCATTGGAGCCATTGATGAGAAGGAATAATCCTTTGATGGTGAAGATGTATTATTATTAGTATTCATCATCATGTATTGTTGTTTTTCTGTATCGGGTGTAAGATAGGAATTTAATTTACTTGAATAGGATGTATTGTTGTTAGAAGTAGTATTTCTTGATGGAGGCGTATTTTGATAATTTGATGGTTCATAGTAAGAGCTTGTTTGAGGTTGATGAAGGCTTGTGTTAGAGAATGCCTTAGAAGATGAGTTAGGCTTTAATTCCCTTTTCATTTTTTTAAAATCCTTAAACGTTTACTTTTTTACTGTTAAAATATTGGCGGTAAAGTTATTAATAGTATTGATGATGTAATTTAAAACAAAAGAATTTATAAAAAAATTATTTGAATCTACCACAGTTGGATGGAACACACTTTTCTGAAAATTTCATGTCTTCGGAATCAACTTCATATGGAACTAGATTTGTAAATAAATTTAAAAATCAAAATGTGTGTCTATTGTTAACTTTATCCATTATTTTACTCTGTATCATTTTCATGTGTTTACAAATAGTTTATCAACAAGATCAAAAACAAGCAACATTACAATCATTTGAAACTAATCCATTGAGAGATTATGAAGCCATTAGACATGATTTAATTAAAACAGGTGATAATAATGCACCACCAACATTATTACCCAATATTTAAAAACAAGTAATAATTGAAAATAAATTTTTTTAATAAATAAAATTAACAAGAAAGCAAAGCTTCATCAGCAAAGAATTTCACATCTGGATCATTATCATCATGGAGAATTTGCAAAACTGGTTTGATTCTTTCTTGGACAATCTTAGCTTCAACACGTGGAATAATTATGCCCAAAGTCTTAGCAACATTGAAACGAATATTTGGTACAGGATCTTTTGACATTTCAATAACTACATCAAGTAAATGAGATGCAATATTTTCTTCTGTCATAACTTGAGACAAAACACCAATAGCAAAAAGTGTTGTCATTCTATATAAATAATTAGAATCCTTTGACATTTCAACAACTTTTGGTAATAAATGTTCAACAGCCCAAGCAGGACCAAAAGTTTCAGTCAATTTCTTCAAGTTATTTGTAGCAGCTTCACGAATTGAATAAACAGAGTCTGATAACCATGTCATACACAAATCGTTCAACCTTTCATTGAAGAATTTAACACCTAATTGACTTGATAACAATGGAATATGTTCAATAATAGCAGCTCTAACTCTCCATTGTTTATCTTCTGCTAATTCCACAATAGCTGGTAAAAGTGATTGTGCCAATAAATCAACACCAATAACATCATTAACAGATTCCAATCTAGAAATAATATTTAAACGAACTTCTGGTGATTCATCCTTCAATAATTGTAAAAATAAAGGTAAAAGAGCATCAATAGTATGTTCTCTTCCTAAAATTGGAGCCAATCCCATAATTTCAGATGCCAAAGCAGATCGTACATGTTCAGATTTGTCTGAAACTAAATTCTTAATACTTGGTAAAACTTCTGAAACAATCAATTCTTTTGGAACCAAAGAACAAACATCAGCAACTCTCAAAGAAGCAGCTGTTCTAACTTCAGCTTCAGAGTCTGTGCATAATTTCACGTAAGAGTGTAACAATTCATTTGTTAAAATTTCTTGACCCATTCCTTCACAAATAGATTTAAAGTGATCAGCGGCCATATATCTTACTCTCCATGATTTATCAGTACAACAACTCTTAATTGCTGGAAGAATATGTGTAACAGCTTCTTTTGGTGAAAGTAACTTTGAGAATGCAACACAATTTTCAACAGTCAACAATCGTACAGAATCTTGATCATCTTGATGTAAGTTAAGAAACATTGGTACCATTTCACTAACAATAAATTCCTTTTCAACTTTAGCAGCAAAATCACCTAAATTTGTACAAGCAGCTCTTCTAACCATTGGTGTTTCATCTTTGCACAATTTGGCATAAGTTTGTCTCAGTTCAGCTCTAATATCTTTACCAACAACAGAATATAAAACTGAGAATAAGCCACATGATGACGATCTACTTGTAAACCAATCTCCGGAAGATAACTTTCTAACTAGTGGTAAAATGTATTGTTCAGTATGTTGCAAAGCCTTCATTTCATTGGCAATCTTGCAGAGAGATTTTACAGCCTTTTCTCTAACAGAATTTTCCTCAACATTACATAATGTTTCGAGTGGTAAAATCAGACAATGAGCATGTTCTGCACCACCAACATATTGTACAAAATTACCTAACTCTTCGGCAAGAGCAAGAAGAACTTCATCTTCATCATCAATACATGATTCGTTGAGGAATGGTATTAATTCATAACGTGTTCTATCCGCGCCAAGAGCATTAGCAATTGTTCCTAATCGTTTTATAGAATTTAAACGTAATTGTACGTCTTCATTCTTTAGTTCATCAATAAGAATAGCAATTGGATAAAGTGATTCTTCGTTTTCGTCAGCAACTAATTTTAATCATCAATATAATAAAAACAATAAATAATAATAATAATATATCAATAATAGTCATCATCGTCAACACACTTGCCGCCATCAAACAATATAAAATAACCTACCCATTTTTTAAACAAGAAGGTGACGAGTTTTTAAAAAGATAATTTTTTTAAAAAGATTTTCAAAAAAGCAAAGCCTTGAAATTTAAGAGCCAATAGACCGGATCATCATTATAACATTCGCAAAGACAATTACCAATTTGAATGACATTGAACTACAACATGGTGTTTGTTGGTCAACATTTATTGAAATATTTTAATATTATTATTGTGTCTGCTAGCACTTTGAAGATGAAATGAAATTTTTGATCTTGTCTGTAAATAGATAACACGTTCATTAATTGGGGTGATTGAGAAAATTTTTCCCTATTAATTGTACGGTTGGTTTCATGTCATCATCTCTTTCAATTAATTCATATTATTCAATTAGAAAACCTCAATATTTTAATAATTTGATGGTCCTAATTGGTGACAGGCAATTTTCCTTCCTAAATCCCAACGGAAATTTAAAAAAAATTGAAAAGAAGGGAATTGAAGAGAATTTGTTTTTATCTTTGTTTTTCTTCTCAATTGACTTATTGTATCATCACCACCATCATCATTATTGTATCATTTATCATTGTAACCTTTCATAATATTATTATTACCCGAAAAGCCTAATAATCCTCAAACCGCCAAAAAATTACAATGAATCATTTGGAAGTAAAATCTCCATCATCATTAACTCCTTCTTCATCTACTACAAGTAATACATTAAATACAAGTACTACTACTATTACATCTACACCATCATCATCTTCATTAAAAAAGCCTTCTTCTGTATTTATTGCTCAACCTCATTCAATTAAAATGAAAAATCAATCAAATCAAAATCATTACCAAAATAGTAAAGATGATGATTTATTAAATAATAATACATCTAATACATTAAATAATACTAATAATACATTAAATAATACATCATATAATAATACATCAAATACATCAAATAATAATACATCAATTAATTTTATTCATGAAATTTCATCACCAAATATATCATCCAATAATACAAATAATTTAACAACAGCTAATTTTATACCACATAATGTAGAACAAGAAATAGGAGAAGATGTTTTATTTGGCTATACTGATTTAACTAGAATAGAATTACCACCCTTATCTAAAAGACCATTTTACAAAAAAGGAATATTTAAAATATTTTATTTATTTTATTATTTATTTAAAATGATAATATTTTTATTTAAATTTTTAATTTCATATATTGGATTAATTAATCATCAAAGTAAACAAAAAAAACATTGTAAAATATTATTAGAAGAAAAAGTAGAAAATTATAAAGAATATAAAGAAATTTCACTATATTTAGATCAATTAGAAGGATTTGATTTATGGAAAGCAGAAAATGAATCAAAATATTATAATTATGAACAAATTGAATCTATAAATTATCAATTAATTGCCATGTTAAGAAAAAAAGATATACACGGATTACAATGGTTATTAAGAGCACAATTACATCGAAATATTGCTGGAATTTCACATGTTAAATTATATGAATGTCATACTGGAACTAAACAATTAATTGAAGAATATATTGAATTGGTTTCAAAGGCTTTAATTTTCATTAAGGAATCAACAATGCAATTATCATTGGAAGATAAATTAAAATTCTTCAGAGATACTTCACATGCCTATGGAAGAAGTGCTCTATTATTGAGTGGAGGTGGTGGTTTATCAATGTATCATTTGGGTGTTATTAAATCTTTATATGATGCAAAAGTTGTAGGTTTTAACTTTGAAATATATATATATCTAACTTTAATTTATTCATTTAATTTATAATTAATATATAATATATTCATATAATATTTAATTGATATATCTATTCATATAATATTCATATAATTGATATAATATAATATATTATTGAATAGTTACCTAATATAATAAGTGGATCAAGTGCAGGATCAATATTAGCATCCGTTCTAGCAACTAGAAAAGATGAAGATATTGCCAAATGTTTTGAAAGTGATGGATTTAAATTGGATGCATTTGGTGGTAGTTCAGATACACCAGAGAGAAGTGCCATGAGAAAATTGAATAGATTTCTAAATAATGGAGTAATAATGGATGTTAACAAATTAGCACAATGTATTAGAGAGAATATTGGTGATTTAACATTTGAAGAGGCTTACAAAATAAGTGGAAGAGTTTTAAATATAACTGTTAGTGGATTGGGCGGCTATCAGACACATGAGGGTTTATTAAATTATTTAACTGCTCCAAATGTTTTAATTTGGTCTGCTGCATGTGCTAGTAGTTGTATACCAGGTGTATGTTGTTTTTATTATTTTATATTAATATTTAATACTTTACAATGATATTTAATATATTTAATAATATTTAAAAATAATAGTTTTATAAAGCAGTACCATTAATGGCTAAAGATAGAGATGGTAATATAATACCTTATCATAATTTTCCAAATCAAAAATATCAAGATGGAACATTATTTAATGATTTACCAATAACAAGACTTGCAGAATTATTTAATGTTAATTTTTATATTGCAAGTCAAGTTAATCCACATGTGTTACCATTTATAACATCATCATCTTCATCACAAAATAATGGATCAATTATTTCAAATATTATAAATTTATGTTTATCTGAAATTAAATATAGAATTGGACAATTATATAATTATGGATTAATACCTGAAAGATTTAGATGGTTTGAATTGGTTTTATCACAACCTTATCAAGCAGATATTACCATTGTACCAACTAAATTAAATTTAGATAATTTTAAAAAGATTTTATCAAATCCAACTGCTGAATATATTAAATCTGCAATTAATCAAGGTTTGAGAAAAACCTATCCACACATGAATAGAATTGAAAATATGTTAAAAATTGAATTTACACTTGATAGATGTTTAAGAGAGGTCAGAAGAGATTTATTTAAAAATAGTCCAAATGTTGCAATGAGATTATCAAAATCTTCATCTTTATTCGATTTGGAATCTGAAGATTTTATTCAACAAGATGAAGATGAAGAAAATGATGGAAATGGATATGGAAATATTCATTCTTCTAATCATACTTCTACTACTAATTTTAATAATGGAATGATGACGACGATGATGGATGAAGAAGGATCATCGCTTGTATCAACCAGCAATACAACAGTAAGAAGAAATTTATTACACGAAGTAAATCCATATACTATTACTAGAAAATTTCAATAATAATAATAATAAAATTCAACAATATTATTAATTTATAATTTTATGAATTAAAAATATTTTGATTAAACATCTCTATCTTTTGGTTCTTTAAATGGTATTCCAATAAAATTAAAAATATCATTTTCAGTTTTACAATTAATTTTAGTACCATCATGAATTCTATTTGATTTTGAATCTCTAATAGTATTTATACATAATGATTTATCACTTAGAGAATAACCCTTCTTTCTACATAATAAACGTAATGATCTATTAAAATGATCTGAACCTGTAAAATATAATAATGCAAATGCAAAATGTTCTCTCCTATAAACTTTAATATCAATTCTTCTGTGAATTCCAATTTGTGGTAAATAATAAACTCCCATAAATGTATCATTTTCATCTTGATTTAAATGTATTTTACATGAAATTGATAATGTATCAGTTATTATTTTCATTTCTTCAAGTTTTGTTACTATTTTTTGTAATAATCCATCAATTATTATTTTTTCATTATTATTATTATGATTATTATTAATATGATTATTATTATTATTATTATTATTATTAATATTATTAATAGTTATCAATTCATTTGATTCAATTGATGATGATTCATTTGATGATAATTCAATTGATGAAAATTGATTATCATTTTCATCTTGTTTTAGAGTAATTAAAATGTCAACATCACCTGAATCTTGTTTACCTCTTCTATATGAACCACATACTTGACATACTATAAATGGATTAATTTCATAACAAACTTGATTAATTAAATTATAAATTTGTTCAACTTCCATTCTTGGAATTCTTTGTTGAAATTCATAAAAATATTTTAATCCAATTAATTGTTGTGAATTTAATTTAGATTTATCAATTTCATTTATATTTCTATATCCATATGAATATAATTGGAAAGCTGTTTTTTGTCCAACTCCCCAAATTTTTGTAAATTCTTGAATTATTTGATTTTGATATGAAGATGAAATTCCTTCAACTCTTTTCATTTTACCAAATTTTAAATATTCTTTAATTTTATCTTTAACTTTATCTCCAATTCCTTTTATGGTATTTACTTGTTCTATTTTAGTAATTTTAAAATTTAATTTTTTTATTATTGTTATTGATTTTTTATAGGCTAATGATCTAAATATATCATTATTATCAGAATAATGTTTATATAATTTATTAAATAATTCAATTAATTCTTCATTATTATTAGAATTATTTCCATTTATATCATTTATATTATTAGAAGAAGAATTATTATTATTAGAATTATTATTAGAATTATTATTATTGGATGAACTTCCACTAACACATACAAATGAATTTAAAAATCTTTCTTGTCTTTCTTTTTTAATTTCCATAATTGATTTATTATTACTATTTATATTATTATTATTATTAGAAATAATAGAATCATTTAAATTATTATTATTAGAAATATTATTAACATCTTGTTGTTGTGGTTGTTGTGAAGAATTTAATTCTTGTTGAGAATTATTTAATAAATTAATTTCATAATTACTAAATTTAGTAATTAATTTATCATATTTAATACAATCTATTATATATTTACATTTTAATAATTTACAATTTAAATAATTTGGATAAATTTCTTTAATTTTTTCAATATTTTCATTTCCACAAATAATAAAATCAAATAAAATATTAAAATTATTAAATTTATAAATTTCACAAATTCCACCTTTTTTTCTAATATTATTTAAATGAATATTTGCTTGTTGATTTGACATGTTTTTACCACAAATTAATAATATTTTAATTCCTTCAAATATTTTATTTTGTTGTGAATTTTTATTTTCTATAAATGTATTATTATTACTTTCCATATATGTATTATTATTAATATTTATATAACTATTATCTATATATGTATTATTATTTATATCATCATTAGATGTATCCATTAAATTATTACTATTATTAGAAATATTATTAACATCCATATTTGTAATATTATTTTCTATTAAATTTTCAGGTAATGAAAATAATTGATTATTTTTAAATCTAATATCATATTTATTTTGAATTAAATTATTTAATTTTGTATAATTAAATTTTAATTCCTTTTCTATTGGATTTAATTTTGAATATAAATTATATAAATGATTAACTACTTGTTCCGAATTATTATTATTAGAATTATTATTAGAATTATTAGAATTATTAGAAATGTTAGAATTATTTAATTGATGATTGTTATATTCCAAATCTTCCTTTTCTAAATCGATTAGATAATTTTCAATATGAGAGAAGAAGGCTTGATAATTTTCTGATGTCATTTTCATTCATTTTTTTTAGGCGGGAAATTCATCTCTCCCATTATTCTTTTTGATATCATCATAACAATAACTGATGATGATTCCGAGTAACGAATATTTATTCATGTCCATCACACAAATATTTGTGAAGATGAAATAATAAAAATAAATGATGACATTTAAAAATCAAAAAAAATGGCTTATAACGTTGAAAAGGAAATTGAACATCTTGTTCATGAAATGAAGAGAAGTATGTGTGATAAATTGATATAAATATTGAAAGATGATGATGGTGTTGATGGTTAAATTTTACTAGTTGGTGATTCTGAAGGTACTTGTACTTTCGGTCAAATCTTCCATGACGATAAGATTCAAAACTTGTTGGAAAGTTTAGGTACGATTATTATTATTTAAATGTCATATATTAATGTCATATATTAATGATGATAAATTATAATTTACTAAAATTGTTATTTACAAAGTTGGTACAATGAAAGGTAAGTTAATCACCATTTTGATCAAAATATCTAACTAATTAATCAATGCAACAATGAAATAGCTGCCAAGAAGCGTAAAATTATTGATTTCCAAGGTGAATTACTTTTGCAAGGTGTTCATGATAAAGTTGTTGTTACACTCTTGCAACCTGACTACAAGGCTTCTCAATAAAAGTCTAATAATTCTACGTCAAATATAATGGTTTTATCTCCTTTGAAAAGACCTGGAAATCCTGTTGATCCATAGGCTACATCTGGTGTCATTCTTACTTTAGCTCTTTCTCCTAAACTCATCTTTATATTCCAATATTTGAAATGGAAATTCAATAATCATCATCATCGTAATTAAATATATAAATATTAATTAATAATTGAAGGATTGAAAAACAAACCTGACCAACACCTTCATCCCATCCTTTAATTACTTCTCCAACTCCTAATTTAAATTTGAATGGTTTTCCTCTCTTTCTACTACTATCAAATTCAACTCCTTCATCTGATCCATTATCTGAGGCAATCTAAATTGTATTTTAATTCCACAACATTCATCCTTAAACTTACAAATCCTGTGTAGTGTACACTCACTGTTTGTCCTGGTTTTGGTACATTCTTTCCATCTCCCTTAACAATAATTTCCAAAGTAACACCCATTTTCTTATTCCGATTTAATCAATTGAACTATTTTTGACTTCAAGTACTACTATTATTCAATATTGAATGCAAATGAATACAAAAAAAGGCTTTGATGTGTTTTTTTTTTGTAGTTATTTACAGTTTTTATGATGGGGATGATTATTTGAAAATGATTAAAATTTTGGAGGGAAATTTATTCCTTCTTCTTTGCTTGAGAAGCGACACTATTAATCTTTTGTTGAATAGCTTCTTGATCACCCAAATAGTAATGTTTGATTGGTTTCAAATTTTCATCTAATTCATAAACCAAAGGAACACCAGTTGGAATATTCAATTCAACAATTTCTTCATTTGGAATGTTATCTAAATATTTAACCAAAGCACGAAGAGAATTACCATGAGCAGCAACGAGAACTTTCTTTCCTTCCTTAACAGATGGAGCAATAACATCATTCCAATATGGAATAACTCTATCAACAGTTAAAGCAAGTGATTCAGTCTTTGGTAATTCTTCTTCAGTCAATGATGAGTATTTTCTTTCATGTCCTGGATATCTTTCATCAGAAACTTCAAGTGCTGGTGGTGGAATATCGTAGGATCTTCTCCAAACTTTAACTTGTTCTTCACCATGTTTTTCAGCTGTTTGAGCCTTGTTTAATCCTTGAAGAGCACCATAATGTCTTTCATTCAATCTCCAACTCTTACTAACTGGTAAATACATCATATCCATAGTTTCCAATACAATCCACAATGTCTTGATGGCACGTTTTAATAAACTTGTATAACAAACATCAAATTGATAGCCTTCTTTGCTCAAAATTTGACCAGCTTCTACAGCTTCCTTCAATCCTGTTTCACTCAAACCACAATCATACCAACCAGTAAATCTATTTTCCTTGTTCCATTCTGATTCACCGTGTCTAATTAATACAATTTTATAAACCATTTTATAATGTGTTGTTGTGGGTATATCTAGTTGTTGTCTTGTTTTTTTTAATTGTGTTTGATCGGAACCGAAAAAGGTACTGTGGATAGGCTTGATTATTTGTTATTAGATAAATTTCCTTAGGCTGGATGGTATAGACTTGAGAGTAAGCTAGATAATTAATGGATAACAAAGTTAATCAAGTTGAATAATCCATTTAAAGATTTCTTTACAAATCAATATAATTTCTCATTTTAATATAAATTGAAATCTTTTCAATCATTTTAAGCTCCAAAGGATTTAATTATTATTCAATAAAAAACTTTTTCAGCTGATTCATTGAATATATGATCACCACCAATATGAATTAACAACACTATGAATTCTCTCTTCCCGCCAATGATATCCTACAATATTTTCATCACCAGTAATAAATTTTTATTATTCAGCCTTTAAAAAAATGTCATCATCTAGTACAATGACTCCATCACCTCATCATCATCATTCTAGTAGTGGTGGTGGTATTGGTGGTGATAGTATTGATGATCATCATACTAATAATAATAATAATAATAACAAATCAAATATTAATATTTTCTTCCAACAATTAACAAGTAAACAATCACTATTTTATATATCTATAATAGCAATATTATTTGAAATATTATTTAATATAATAATAATTAAAAAAGTATCATATACAGAAATTGATTGGATTGCATATATGGAAGAAGTTAAAGGTTTTTTAAATGGAGATTGGGATTATTCACATTTACATGGTCAAACAGGACCACTTGTATATCCTGCTTTATTTGTTTATATTTATTCTATTTTAAATATAATTACTTTAGATGGAAGTGTAATAATTGGACAATATATTTTTGTATTAATTTATATTTTTATTTTTATTATAGTAATTACATTATATTTAAATTATAGTAAATTTAATAATAATAAATATATTTGGATAATAATAATGTTAATGTTAAGTAAAAGAATACATTCTATATTTGTATTAAGAATGTTTAATGATTGTATTGCAATGATGTTTCTATATTTAGCAATATTATGTTTTTGTAAAGATTATTATAAATTTGGATTATTTTTCTATAGTTGTGCATTAGGAATTAAAATGAATATTTTATTATTTTTACCAGCAGTTGGAATTTTAATTGTTCAAAGATTTGGATTTACATTTAAATCAATTTTAAAATTAATTATTTTTATATTTGGATTACAAATATTATTTGCAATTCCATTTATTTATGGAAATATGTTTGAATATTTTAATTATGCATTTGATTTTGGAAGAGAATTTACATTTAAATGGACTGTTAATTTTAGATTTTTAAATGAAGAATTTTTTAAATCAAAATTATTAGCAAAATTATTATTATTATTACATGTTTTATTTTTATTAATTTTTATTTTTACAAAATGGTGTAATGGTAAATTATTTAAAAATCCATTTCATTTATTATTTAAATATAAAAATAACAAACCATTAGATACACAACATGTCATTTATTTAATGTTTACAAGTAATTTTATTGGTTTTATTTTTGCTAGAAGTTTACATTATCAATTCTATGTTTGGTATTTTCATACCATTCCATTCATGTTAATGTTCATTCCTTATTTTAAATTTAATTTTATTAGATTGGTTATTTTATTAGCAATTGAATATGTTTGGAATGTTTATCCATCCACTTCATTCTCATCTGCTCTTTTACATTTGTGTCATTTCATTATTTTATTAGGTTTATTATTCACTCCATCACCTGCTTCTAAAATGAATGAAAATGGAACTATTATTAATCAAAATAATGATAATAATAATATTAATGATATGAACAATACAACAACACCAACACCAACAACTATTAATCAAAGTAATATTGTTGATAATGTTAGTGTTTGTAACAATGATGATGATACAAAGAAGAAGAATAATTAAAAATGAATCCATTAATTAATATCATCAATATTGTGAGAGAAGAATAAATGATTTATTAACCACCTTTTAATGCACAAACAATTTGAAAAATACAATTATTTTCAATTCCAATAATTTCACATAATCTTAGCGTATTTACATTAGATTGAGTTGGTATTATTCTTCCTTTTAAAACAATTCTTTGTTTTGGAATTGGAATTCCGAGTTGTTCATTAATTATTTGTTGTAAATCAAATAATGTACTCGATTCTATATCAACTTGACTGAATGAAATGGTTTGACCACTTAATCCTTTCACTTGAAAATTAATTATACTATTCTTTCTATTCAATTCTTGATTTATAACTGTTGCACGTAAATATTCTACATGTTGTAAATGTTTTCTATATATATAAGAATCATGAATATTAGATGATGATGATGGTGATAATATTTGATCATCTTCCATTATTGAATTATCTTGATGCATATTATTATTATTACTGTGTTGATTAATAGATAGATCAAAGCCTATCGTTGATTGTATGTACAAGGAGGAGGAGGGTTGTTGGTGATGAGTTTGGTGATAGAAGGGAGTGTCATGATGATGATGATGTTGATGATGTGGTGATGGTTGAATGGTGGTAGGAGTATTAGTAGTGATGGTAGTGACATTATGAGAAGTGTTATTATTGAATGAAAAAAGGCTTTGTGAAGGAGGATCAAATCTCTTCTTTTTTAAACTTGATTCATAATAATTTAAATGTACATGATCCGAATCATAAAAGATAGTTTGGTGATGTGGTAGAAAAGCCTGTAGGGAAAAATCAGGCTCACACAAATGATCATCTTCATATGAATATTCTTCATAGGTACGTTTACTCATTTTTTTTGATTTGTTTTCCAGCCTCACTTGGAATATTTTTGAAACAAAATTTGTTACCTAAATTTTTGGCGCCAAACAAACTTTCTGGATTTTGTAATACTTTATGAATTTGAAAGAATAGTCTGCAAATAAGTAGATTGTTCCAGTTCCATTAAGGTATTTGGCTACACCCAATGAAAGGCACCACCAAAGCAACCATTTTCCAAACATCCAAAATCAAGAAATTGTAATATTTACAATGTGCAAAAATACTAATCAGGAATAATTTCACACATTGTAAATACAACATAGATACTATTATTAAATTAATTAATTGTAAAGACTTCATATTTCGAATTCAAGCTATTAGAAGGATAGTTAAGAAGAGTGGTCTGTTATTCCTTCGCTATTGGGTTACCGTATATTTATGCTTTGAGATAACCATCAAATCTTTTAATCTAACAAATACATCTCATTTAAATACAATACACAACTTTCACTGGTCACTTTGCGGGAAAGTTAAATAGCTTTGCAACCTACGAAACGCAGCAAATTTTATGTTCTAATATCCATACACAACAACATATGGTAACGATGCTTCATTTGTTGTCAAACAACTGAAACACTTAGAATTTATGAATCACTAACTACCATACAGAAGTGTATATGTAAATTGAGATAACTACTTTGCACCATACAATAACTGATCATCATCTGTGGTTGTTCATTGATTACCACCGTTTGAGCAACAATCATATTTCCCAACGGATGAGCCCAACTAAGATCAAGGATAACAACTTAGGCTAACCAAAAATACTTATAATATTATGTCTATTACGTAATTATACATACTGTAGATCAACAAACATATCTGAAAGCCCTTTCAATTGCGGTAACTGTTCAGTACTCTTTTCGTTTCACATTTTACGGATGTTTGTCTCAAGAATGGTCAATACATTGTTTATTTTTATTTTTTTTACGTATAGTGCTCAAAGCGATTTTAGTTTTTACAGCATATAATATTTGATTGTTTCAACAGCAGATTTTGTTTCTAATTTAAGTAATAAACTAAGGTCTCTATTTCTATTATCCAATTTGGTAACCAGTTCATAAAGTGGTCATGTTTTGCACGTTTTACACACATTTAAAGCAAGTTCGTAGTACTTCATCTTAATAAAAGAATTGATTTCATGAAAAGTATCCTCAATTTCACCAGTTCACAAAATAATCACTCAAGTCAAAAACCATTTCAACCAATTCAACAACCTTCACCTAGTTTGAAGACAGCAACTGGATAAACACTCCAAGAAAACATTTAAAATACTCTTTTTATTAATTCTGCTGGAAGATATTATTCAAATTAATCATTAATTATTTTGTATTCCGCAAAAACTGATATTACTACTGGTACTTGCAGCTTGCTATTTGTTTTTATGTTTCAAGAAGGTGAGTTGGAACAAAAGTTGGACTGTAAGAGAGACGACAAAGGATCTTCAATTGTATTGATTGAGGAATGCAACAACAAAGGTACTTCTCTTTTAGATCCGTTTCCATGGCTAAATATGTTCATGACAGTAAAAAAGCGCCGTCACACATTTATGCAATTTGAACCTTTTATCATGCATTTGAGCAATAAAAAAAAGAAAATGGCAGTACGTTAGAGATTCTTTAAGATTTTTTAATAGTAAAATTTATCTCTCATATTTTCTCATTGTTTTTGATTGTTATTAATTGTTATTGTTGTTACTGATTGTTTGTTATTAAAAAGACTTTGAATCAATTCACTATTGCTCATAGTAATAATAGTAGTACTAATAGTAGTACAAATACTGAAAATGATCCAACAAAGAATTGGCAAAGTACAATTTTATTCTATGTGAACGGAGAACGTCATGAAATTACAAAACCAAATCCAAACACAACACTTGCAAATTATCTTCGTAAAAAGTTACATTTAACCGGTACAAAGGGTATGTTGTTTTAATGTCGTTAAATTATATATTTAAATATATTTTAAATATATTTTAATAATAATAATAATAATACTAAATATTAAACAGTTGCTTGTGGTGAAGGTGGATGCGGAGCATGTACAGTTGTATGTATTATTCTTTAACAATATTTAATAATAACAATTTAATAATAATATTTAATATTTAATAATATTTAATAATATTTAATAATAGCTTGTATCACATTATGATCATTTAACAAATTTTGTAGTGAATAGAAGTGTTAATGCATGTTTATTTCCATTAATTCAAATAGATGGATGTGCTATTGTAACAGTTGAAGGTATTGGTAATAATCATTCAGAAGATGTATTACATTTAATTCAACAACGTTTTAGAGAATTTGGTGCATCACAATGTGGTTTTTGTACTCCTGGTTTTGTTATGGCTTTATATTCTTTATTGAGAAATAATCCTCATCCATCTCTTGAGGAAATTTCAAGAGCATTTGATGGTAATTTATGTAGATGTACTGGTTATAGATCGTATGTATTATTATATTATTGTTGTTGTTTAATAATAATTATAATAATTATAATAATATTGATTGTTGTTTAAATGATGACTATGAAATGCATTACCTTAAATATGATACTATTTATGTATGATGATATGATACTATTTATATATGTGATGATATGATACTATTAAATATGTTTGGTGATGGTGATTGAATATGATTAGCATTTTTGAGGCAGCTGCTACATTTGCACGTGTTCATGAAGATTCTGAATATCATCCAGCAAAAAGTGTTTGTAGTATGGGTGATAATTGTTGTAAAAAGACAGGTGAATCTTCTAATGATTGTGGTGGTGGTAATAGTAATAATAATACTAGTAATAATAATGGTTGTGGTAAGAATGATTGTTGTAAAAAATCACCAACACATGAAAATGATCAACATTCAAGAAGTAATGTAATTGGTAAACATTTATATAATCTAGTTGGACAAAAACATCCATTATTTCCACATGAATTGAGAAGATATAATCCAAATGAAAGATCACTTTGTGTTGAATCACCTGTACAATCAGGATCAGATAGACATGAAACTAAAACTATTTATTATAGACCTTCTAATTTAAATGAATTTTTATATTTAAGAAAGAAATATGAACATGAAAAACATTTACGTATCATTTGTGGTAATACTGAACTTGGTATTGAAACTAAATTTAAAAAATTTGATCATTATAGATATTATATTGAAGCTGTTAGAATTCCTGAATTACTTGTTAAAAAAGTTAATTATATTGATATTAATAATACTATTAATAATAACAATGATACTATTAATAACAATGATGATACTATTAATAACAATGATAATGATAATAATAATAGAATTGCTAAAAGTATTGAAATTGGAGCATCATTAACATTAACAAATTTATATAATTATTTAAAAAGTTTAATAGATGAATTACCAGAATATCAAATTCAAGGTATTAAAGCAGTATGTGAACAAATTGAAAGATTTGCATCAAATTCAGTTAGAAATGCAGCATCATTAGGTGGTAATATTGTAACTGCATCTCCTATTTCTGATTTAAATCCATTATGGTTAGCAATGGATTGTTCTTTAAATATTATGAATTCAAATGGTAATATTAGAATTGTACCTTTTAATCAATTCTTTTTAGGTTATAGAAAAGTTAATTTATTAGATGATGAAATTGTTATTTCAATTAATATTCCTTTATTTAATCATTTTAATACATTATCTTATAATAATATTAATAATATTGATAATATTAATAATAATAATACTATTACTAATAATAACAATTTAATTGAAATAGTACATTCATATAAACAATCTAAAAGAAGAGAAGATGATATTGCTATAGTAACATCAGGTATGAGAATGATTATAGATAAAAGTAATGGTATTATTAGAGAATGTAAAATATCATTTGGTGGAATGTCATTTAAAACATTATTAGCAGATGAAACAAGTAAATATTTAATTGGAAAGGAATTGAATGAACAAGTATTTTTACAATCATTAGAATTATTAAAACAAGATGTACCATTAAAAGAGAATGCACCTGGTGGTATGATTGAATATAGATGTTCATTAACATTATCATTTTTATATAAATTTTATATAAGTGTTTTAAAAGAATCAAAATTGAGAGAATTAACAATTGATGAAGAATCAGTATTAGAATCACAATTTATTAAACCCTATCCAAGAGGTGAACAAGTATATAGACCATTAAAAGAACAAGGTACAAGTGTAGGTAAACCTATACCACATAATTATAGTCATTTACAAGTAACAGGTGAAGCAACCTATGTACAAGATATACCACCTCAATCAAGAGAAGCCTATGCATATCCTGTTTTATCAACTAAACCATTTGCTATTATTAAAAAAGTAGATTATAATAGAGCATTAACATTTGAAGGTGTTATTACATGGGTTGATTATAAAGATGTTAAAGGTTCAAATAGATGTGGTGCTGTTATACATGATGAAGAAGAATTATTTTTAACAAGTGAAACTACTAGTTGTGGTCAATTAATTGGTTTTATTATTGCTGATTCTCATTTAAAAGCAATGACTGCTGCTAAATCTGTACATGTTGAATATGAAGAATATCAAAATCCTATTTTATCTATTCAAGATGCTTTACAATTTAATGCTCCTTCTTTAATTGATAGAAGAATATTTAGAGGTGATGCTATTAATAGATTAAATGAAATTAAACAATTAATTAATAATGATAATTCAAATAATAATAATAATAATAATAACAATGATAATAATGATAACAATGATAATACTACTAGTGATAATTCTAATTCTAATAGTAATGAAGAATATGAAATAATTGAAGGTGATTTAAATATTGGAGGACAAGAACATTTTTATTTTGAAACACAATCATGTTTAATATTACCAGGTAGATATGGAATGTCAGGAGATGAAGGAGAATATGTTGTATTTTCATCTACACAATCACCTACACATACTCAATCTATTGTTGCAAGTGCATTAGGTATACCAGATCATAAAGTTATTTCAAAATTAAAAAGATTAGGTGGTGGTTTTGGTGGTAAAGAAAGTAGAAGTTGTATTTTAGCAGGTATGTTTTTAATTTTTTAATTTTATTTTTAATTTTAATTTAATTTTAATTAAATTATTAAATTATATTTAATTATAATAATATATTATTATTATATTTATAATTTAATATAGGAGCTGTTGCAGTTGCAGCACAAAAGACTAATAGACCAGTTAGATGTATATTAGATAGAGATGTAGATATGCAATCATCTGGTCAAAGACATCCATTTTATTCTAAATATAAAATAGTAATTAATAAGAAGACATTAAAATTTGAAACAGTACTTGTTGATACATATGCAAATGGAGGATATTCATTAGATTATTCTAAAGGAGTATTAGAAAGAGCATTATATAGTTTTGATAATGTTTATTATTTTCCACATATTGATTTGAAAGGTAAAGCTTTAAAAACTAATTTACCTACAAATACTGCTTTTAGAGGTTTTGGTGGTCCACAAGGTTTAATGATTTGTGAACATATTATTGAACATGTTTCACATTATTTATCTGTTAAATATCCAAATTTAATTAATCAATTCATTTTAAATCATTTAAATCAATATAATATTTTAAAGAATGTTATTTTACCTTCTATTCATTTGAATGATAATATTAATGATACAACTATTAATAATATTAATGATACTATTAATAATACAAATAATACAAATAATATTAATAATAATACTATTAATATAAATACAAATAATAATAATAATATACAATTAAGTCATTTAATTAGACAAGTTAACATGTATGAAAAAGAGAATGCTATAACACCATATAAAATGCCAATTGGTGATGTTCATAGAATTATATTAATGTGGGATAGAATTATTGAAATTACAAAATATCAAGAAAGATTACAACAAGTGAATGAATTTAATAGTAAAAATAAGTATCAAAAGAGAGGATTATCTTTAATTCCAACTAAATTTGCAATTTCATTTGGAGTTTCATTTTTAAATCAAGCAAGTGCATTAATTAATATATATAGTCATGATGGTAGTGTATATGTATCACATGCAGGTACAGAAATGGGACAAGGTGTTTCAATTAAAGTTGCACAATGTGTTGCTTCTTCATTAGGTATTCCAATTGAATTAATTCATATTGGTGAAACTTCAACTGATAAAGTACCAAATACATCTGCTACTGCTGCTTCTGTTGGTTCTGATTTAAATGGTTTTGCTGCAAAGAATGCATGTGAAAAAATTAATCAACAATTATCATCTTTAAAACAATCTTTATTTCCACATTTATTTAAGAAGAATTATTCAAATGAATCTAATACTCAATCTAATGATAATACTCAATCTAATCAATCAAATCAATCAAATGATAATACTCAATCTAATCAATCAAATAATATTCAAACAAATCAAACAAATGGTGAAAATAATAATAATATAACAACACCTCAATTAAGTATTGAAGAATGGAAGAAATTAGTTAAAGAAGCCTATATGAAATGTATACCATTAACAGCTACAGGATATTATAACACACCTAATTTATATATGGATTGGGATAAAAGTGAAGGTACACCATTTTCATATTTTACATATGGAGTAGCATGTAGTGAAGTACAAATTGATACATTAACTGGTGATTGGACATGTTTAAAAACAGATATTGTAATGGATGTAGGTGATAGTTTAAATCCTACTATTGATATTGGTCAAATTGAAGGAGCATTTATACAAGGAATGGGATATTATACAATGGAAGAATTAATATTTGGAGATAAAGAACATCCATGGGTACAACCAGGTCATTTATTTACTAAAGGACCAGGTAATTATAAAATACCATCTGGTAATGATATTCCAAATGAATTTAATGTACATTTATTAAGAGATGAACAAAATAGACAATTTCCATCATCTGTATTTTCATCTAAGGGTGTTGGTGAACCTCCTTTATTCTTGGCTTCATCTGTTTTATTTGCTATTAGAAATGCTATTGCTGATTTTAGATCTAGAAATTGTAATAATCCTTCTTATTTCATTTTAGATTCACCATGTACATGTGAAAGAATTAGAATGTTATGTGAAGATGATTTTACAAGACATTTTTATAATAAGAATATTAATGATATGGAAAATAATGAAAATAATAATGAACATGTTGAAAATGTTGCATTTAGAGCAAAGGGTAGTTTTTAAAAGTAATTGATTGATTGAAAATTTGAAAATAAATTTTTATCCCACACATGCCTCTATTTGTTCATATCATTCCACTTTGTGTTAATCTTGGAATTACTTTCACATGCTCTAATACATTTAAAACCCAAATAAATTTGTAATTTTAATTCTTTCATTAAAAGATTCAGTCATGCCTTAAATGAACAATTCCAATAACACCGATTTATTATTAAGATTAGAATCTCAACAATTAATCCTACAATGTTATAATGGAAGTAGTAACGATATGAGAGAAAATGTAACAATGAATGGGTAAAGAAATCAAACGGACTTTTTAGTGTTACCAATCACCACTATTTATCATCCATTTAAGGATTCATTTTGAAACTAATTTAACACTTTAAAAAAAATGTTACGAAACACTAACATTATATTGATGATGAGTTGTGTAATGATACTGATGATGATCATTCACTCAACTCTATCAACACTCACTCCAACAAGTAAATTCATGATATGGCCAGATCCAATCACAACAGAATCAAAAGTATTATTATGGGAGAATGGAACTGTTGTAACTAGAACATTGTCTCTATATGATGTTGGTAAATCTGCATGGAATGATGTTAATGCTGTTACTTCAAGTATTAGAGATACTATTGCAAGTGGTCAAGTTGTATTTGTGTATGTAAATTCAGTTAGTTATATATTTATATAGTAAATATATTTGAAATTAGAGATTCATATCATTTTGGTGATACAGGTTGGAGAAATTTATCAGAATGTCCAACAGTTATTGCCTTTGATCAACAAGTAGCTAAAGCTATTGGATCTAATTTTGCCATAATTAATATTGAATCAGAGTGGGATGTTGGAGTTGTTTTATCACTCTTTCAAACCAATGAAGGAATTCAATGTTTTCAAAATAGAATTCTACAATATAATACCTATGCACCAAATGCATTGATTACATCTGCACCTGGATTATGGAATTCCTATTCAACTTATAATTTCTTTCAACCTGTTGAAAAAATGTTAAATTTAAGATCACTTAATATTAATGCTGTAAATTCAGGTAATACTACATGTTCGAGAGTATATGATGGATCTTATTGGACAAGTGGTCAAATGAATTTAAATGAAGCTAAACAATATATTGATGATAAAATTGTTGGTGATTTAACTAAAATGAATAATGCATGGGGTCAAAGTCAAAATAATCAATTTTTAGCTTTTAGTGCTGTTACTTCATGTGGATGGGGTTTTGATGGTCAGGCTGAAATTTTATCAACTCTTATTAATGTATGTTTTTTTACTATATTTTGTTGTAATAATTATTGTAATGATTATTGTAATATAGAATTTAGATTGTTTATATGAAAATGGATTTCGTGGATTTAATTTAAGAAATTCAGGACCTGCAGCAGAATATTGTGCTACAGGTATTAATAATGAACAAATGTATACCTATTCAACATCAGTTAAAAGTGTAGCAGTGTTAAATGAAGGTTGGTTGAGAGTTAGATCACTATTTTCTGGAAATGTTAAACCTAATTGTACACTTCCAACATTGGATAATGTTAATATTCAAATATTAAGTGGAAGTGATTCATGGTGGTTAAAATTACAAGTTAATCCATCTATATATGTATATGGTAATGTTAATATTACATGTAATGGTGTTACAACAAGTCTTAGTCAAACAAGTTGGTCAACTATACAATATACAAATAGTTTAAATGCTAATTGTCCAAATAATTCAATTGCTATTGTTTCATTACAACCTGTTCCAAATATTGGTACTATTACTATTAAACAATTTACTATTAATTATTTTGTTGGAAGTATTGGTGTTCCAATTATTACAATTATTAATAATACTAATACTAATAATTCAAATAATAGTTCAAATAATACTATTATATCAAATAATTCAACTATAACTAATGGAACTGTAATTAATAATTCAACTATAACAAATGGAACTGTAATTAATAATTCAACAATTATTACAAATGGTACTATTATTAATAATAATAGTACTAATAATAGTAATAATACTAACAATGGTAACAATAATAATTCAAATAATAATAATAATAGTAGTAATACTACTAATGCAACACCATCTACTATTAATCGTTTGAATAGTTACCATCTTTCAATGTCAAATCATTCTTTTACAATGAATATTATATTACTTATTAGTATTACTATGTTAATTTCCTTAATGTAGTAAATGAAAACAAAATAATCAAATTCAAATTAAATAAATTTTATTTTAACATGTTGATTATAATAAAATAATCATTTTCAATATTAACTATATTGTGTTCTTCTTTTGTGTTTCACTTGTTCTGCTCTTCTTCTTATCAATAATACTATTAATAATAATACTATTAATAATATTATTATTGTAATGTCTATTATGGAGTCATTACAAGTCTAAGATTTTGAAAATTATTTAATAATTCACTATCTAAAATGGTATCATCTGATAAAAAATTACATTTTGAAATAAATGTTAATTTTTCCTTTCTAATTCCTTCATTTTGTTGTTCAATTTCATTCTTTAATTCACCAATTGTTAATTGATTATTTTTATATTTTTCAGTATTGTAGTCAACTGTAATAACTGGTCCAAGTGCTATTCTTAATAATAATTGCATTATTCTTCTAATATTATTATTATTTGTTACTAATATGAAGATGATGAGAGAAGAAGGCAATGAATTGCTGTTGAATTGTTTTTTTAATTTCTATTATTGAGTCAACTGTTGTTCAACAAGTTTAAATTGCATTCGGACAGTCGGTGATGGAATGGTTTTTAATTGATTTCCAACAAAAATCAATACAAGTGAGAACAAGAGAGTAGTACGTGCGTAGGTGAGTAAGGACAATGGAAAGCATCTCCACAAGAATGTGCGTAGTAGCAGCTATTGAGTGAAGAAGTAGAGTAATAAAAGGTCATAGCCTAGGTAAGGACAATAGGTGTTGATGTTGTTCTAATAAGAACTCAAAAATATTTCTATTTATCGCTCTTTTACAATGAATTCTAAATCGTACTTGAACATATTCCTTATACTTTCAAATTAATTATCCTATTCATTGTTAGTGATGCCATATATGAAATTAGATAATACGTTTGAGATGAAATGTAAATATCTTGTCAGAAGATTATTATGGAGGATATTTGTCAAGCCTTTACAGTTTTTTAAAATTACAAAATTTTAATCATGATGTACTGTTAATTATTTTTCTTGTAGTTCTATTCCTCTCCTATTTAAAAAGTTAAAAGTAAATATTCATAATTAAATATTAATTTTCAATCATAAAAAATTGACAAGATTATCATAATCATTTTACATTTTTTTAAAATAATAAATCATCAACAATCTATCGGAATGGATCAATCGTCATCATCTCATAATACTAATAATAATATTAATAATTTAATATATAATTATACAATTAATAATAGTATAAATAATGACAATAATAATTTATCATATACATCATTAGAAACATTTAATAGAATGAAATGTTTAGATGATATATCTTCTCTAATAACAGAATATACACAATTAGAATTATTATTTAAAAATAATCAACAATCTAATACAAATAATACTGATAATAATAATAATAATACAACAACAACATCTATAATATCATCACAATCATCATCATCATCTATTGATAAAGAAATAAATGAATTAAAAAAATCATGTCTTGATAAATTAAATTTATATTCATATAATACAAGTATATTATTATCATCACTAAGTGAAGAATATGATGAACAATTAAATGAAATTGAAAATAGATTAAATAATTTTAAAAATGAAATTAATCAATTTAAAAATATTAAAATACCAAATTTAAATAATCAATTACAAATTGAAAAGAAACAAAAACAATTTAATGAAGAATATAATTTAATTTCTGAATTAATTTTAAAAAAACAATCTACTAATCAATTACAACATGAAAAGAATTTGCATCAATTGGAATTAAATAAAATTAAAGAAGAAACAAATCAAAAAAATCAAAAAATTAAATTTTATGAAAAACAATTACAATTATTATTTATTGCTGCAAATGATTTATTAAATAATTTTAAATAAATATTTTAAATACATTGTAAATTTTTAATTTAAATTGTTAAAATATATCTCCAATAATAACAACATAACCAGCAATAGAATTCATTCCTTTTTCACACAGTTTTGAAATTTCAAGAATCATGATTCTAAGAGTTTTGAATCGTCATTTTCATTCATCCACCCACTCTTCACGCGCTCAATAATTGATGCTGAAGCTTAATCTTCAAAAACTTCTCAACAAATCATGAAAATCTAAAGTTTCTCTTCTCACTGAGCAGTGAACGTTTCACTAATTTTGAACCTTCGTTATTTTAACCAAAACCGTAAACCCCGTTTTCTGTGCGCTGTTTTGATTGAAGAGTGTTATTGGTGTAAATAAAGCGAGTTTACCGTTTGTGTCTGAGTGAGGGAGAAGAACCTTCCTTCATCCTCATAAATGTTTTGATACTTCTTGGAACTTTCAACGTATTCTTGCCTCCAATTTTTCAACCCGAAGAAAAAAAAGTTTTTTCTCATCATACTGGTGTAACAGAAAGCACATTTCACACACCTCATAAATTAATATTACTAAACTCTAGTTGTGTCTCTATATTACACATACAACAATACAACATTATCTTTTAACTTGGTATGTATTTTCGGGTGGTGTTATTTTAAAAAAGCCTTTGGCGCCAATTTTCTTTGGTTATTGATAACAAAAACAAATTTCTCTACACCAACAATAATAACAATAACAACAACAATAACAAATAACAACAATTATCTACTCCTAATCATACAACAACAACAATATTCTACAATAACAACAATAACAACAATAACAACAATAACAACAAATACAACAATAACAACAACAATAGAAAGAAAAACACAAAAGAATGGATAATCAAAGTTTTACACCACTTCCACATGTTCAACAACGTGCTTGGATTCAATCCTATGAACAATATTTAGGAATGTATAGAGAAAGTGTTGAAAAGCCTTATGATTTTTGGTATAAGGTAGCCAATGAAAATTATCATTGGAAGGAAAAGAATTTTAGTTTAGAAGAACCTAAAAGTATTCTAGATTATAATTTTGATTTGAGTAAAGGACCAATTCATATTGAATGGTTTAAGAATAGTTTAACAAATATTTGTTATAATGCATTGGATAGACATGTAGAAAATGGAAATGGAGATCGTGTAGCCTTTTATTATGAAGGAAATGATATTAATGATAATCATTCAACAATTACATATAAGGAATTATTGAAACAAGTTTGTAAATTTGGTAATGTATTAAGAAAATTAGGAGTTAAAAAAGGTGATCGTGTTGCAATGTACATGCCAATGGTAATGGAATTAATTATAGCAGTATTAGCTTGTGCACGTATAGGTGCAATTCACTCTGTTGTATTTGGAGGATTTAGTGCTGAAGCCTTAGCAAGTCGTTTAATTGATTCACATTCTAAAATTATTGTTACATCTGATTATGGTATTCGTGGTGATAAATTAATTGCTTTAAAACAAGCAGTTGATGAAGCAATTGATCATCATTGTCAAGATACTGGTTTTACTTGTGAAAAGGTAATTGTTGTTAATAGAATGAATTCAAAAATTGTATCAATGGATACAAAACCAAGTCATTCAATTTCATCTCCACAAATTCATTGGTATGAAAAACGTGATGTTTTTTATAATGATTTAATGAATGATGAAACAATAAGTGAAGAATGTCAAGTTGAATGGGTTAAAGGTGAAGATGGTTTATTCATGTTATATACAAGTGGTAGTACAGGTAAACCAAAAGGTTTATTACATACTACTGCTGGTTATATGATTTATACTTCAACTACATTTAAATATGTTTTTGATTATCATGAAAATGATGTTTATTGGTGTGGTGCTGATATTGGTTGGATTACTGGTCACTCTTATGTTATTTATGGTCCTTTAATTTGTGGTGCAACAAGTGTTATATTTGAAGGTATTCCAACTTATCCAACTCCATCTAGATATTGGCAAATTATTGACAAGTATAAGGTTAATCAATTTTATACTGCTCCAACTTTAATTCGTACTTTGATGAAAATTGGTGATGAACATGTTAAAAATGGTTCAACACGTGATTCACTTCGTATTTTGGGTTCAGTTGGTGAACCAATTAATCCAGAAGCATGGTTATGGTATCATAATGTTATTGGTAATGGTAAATGTGCTATAGTTGATACTTTTTGGCAAACTGAATCAGGTGGTCATTTAATTACTCCAATTCCAGGTTGTATTACAACTAAACCAGGTTCTGCTACTTTCCCATTCTTTGGTGTTCAACCTGCTGTTTTACCACCAACTATAGAACCTCAAACACCTGCTGTTATTAATTCCAATGTTACTTCTGTTTTTAATTCATCTGATGCTGCTGTTGTTGTTAACAATGGAACTACTACTACTAGTAAGGCAAGTGAAGAATTGGAAGGTGATTGTGAAGGTTATTTGGCAATTAAATTCCCATGGCCTGGTATTGCTAGAACAATCTTTGGTGATCATGATCGTTATGAAAAGACATACTTTGGTATTGTTAATGGTTACTATATGACTGGTGATGGTTGTAGAAGAGATTCAGATGGTTATATTTGGTTGACTGGACGTGTTGATGATGTTTTGAATGTTAGTGGACATCGTTTAGGTACTGCTGAATTGGAATCTGCATTTGTTGCTCACTCTTCTGTTGCTGAAGCTGCTGTAGTTCCATGTCCTCATGATATTAAGGGTCACGGTATTTATTGTTATGTTGTTTTGAAGGATCATGTTGATATTTCTGAACAAAAGAAACGTGATGAATTATCTCATGCTTTGAAACAATGGATTAGACATGAAATTGGTCCAGTTGCTACTCCTGATTTTATTCATTTTGCTTTTAAGA